ATACCTACTCTATTGTTTTACTTCCCTCGCATGAATAAATTACATATTATAAAATTCAAGATAAAAATACATGACGAGGAAATAAGCTACATATTTGTAAAACCCATGTTTAAAAATTTAAAATTCTCCGTTTAGATCATAAAAACTGAAACCTCTTGGGCATAATTCAGGGTAGTAAACACGTACTTCATAATTTTGTCATTGTCTTATAAATTAACGAGATAGCTCGAAAGGTAAGAACATAATAGTTCAATTACTAGGCTTTTTATAGGTTTGACGTTTTGATTTCCACAGAATTACTTACCTATAACAAAAATCGATTTGGGTCGAATTATTGTCAAATGATATGCAATCGAATACGATAAACATTGAGTGGTAGCCATGCATTAGAATCAAATGATAGAAGGACTAATATATAAAACTGTTATTATTGTTTGCGAAACTCATGATGATGCAGTCGTTATAGTTTTCTTAATATCAGCTATCAGATGCTGTTATCAGCCAAGTATGTATACTACAATTGTAGTACAAAAGTGCGGAAGTTCTCTAATGCCACGTCATTGTACACACACATACAAAGAGACTGGCCATGGGATGTTCTGATGGCCAAAGCAATTTTGTATAAGTTTACGTTTGAGCACTTGCCAACCAGATTATATTTGACGCGAACAAATCCAATCTCATATAATTAAGCGAAATAAGTGAATGAACTTCTGGCATTTAGTAATGTTTATAAAGTTTCATATTCAAATAAGTAACTATAAGTGAATGAAAAACAAAATACTGCACCATGTGTCTAAACTGTATTTATGCTAAATATAATTCATCATAAAAATGTATTGAGATGCAACTGTTAGGCAATATTAATCTTTACCCATATTAGCTTATGGGGCTTGAGGATGAAAGATGAGCATAAGGTCAGGTCTACCTGACCTGACCTTATGCCCATCAAGACAATTTCACCAAGAATTTATCACGATGGTTTCCTGAGGGAACTGCGTATAGGTCAACCTGACATGATACACTGCTAGCAATAAGATCATCAGTCCATATTACTAACAATCCGCTTTCCCCCTAGTCATAGTAGTAACTAGTGGCCTCATTGCTAGCATGTATCCTACCAGGAAAACCTCCACTCAGTTCATAGGAAACCATCGAATTTCGTTCGTCAAGATGCACTAACATGCTCCATCGATTATCATCCATTAATAAAACAACTCAGTGTAAGGTGTATTTACTTTGCACTGATGTATTATGCCATTCGCTTGTTAGGATATCCTGCCACTTGGACTAAAGGCTGTAGTGAGTTAGTAAGACATGGTATTCTTTATTTATTGCAGGCGACAAGAAACTTGACCTAACTAATCTATGAATACAGATACAAAATATAGAAGCTAAAAACTTGGAATTTTTAATAAAAGTCTTAAATTACGCAAGAAAAATAAGATATTCTGACATTCCCACAAGACCTGGTGACAACGGATCCGCGGGAAGCCGTAGTTAATAGTTTGTTTAACACTATTAAAGATAAAATATTATATACAGTATTATCATAAATATATATATATATATATATATATGTTTATATATTTATAATAATAATAATACAATTTGTTCTTATAATCTCTGAAATTACTTAACCAAGGTTTAATTAATTTGTAGGTACCTGCGTATTATATAATATAATCATTATTACCAATTATATCATTGGGTTTTAATATAACATAATAACACCATCATGGCAGGGGGCAATTTATAATATTTTAAACCACCAACAGTTTTGGTCCCATTATGTTAAATTGTACATTTCTAGTTTTTTATAAGAAATGTTTATTTAAATAAAAAGAGTATTATTTCCTTATTGTAAAAAAAATATAAGTTTAAAATATAAAAAGATACAATAAGTCACCGTGTAAGGGTTGCCGGTGCGTGTATTCCACACAATCAATTAGTGGACAGAGCCCCGGCCACCGAACACTTCCGTTTCCGAGCGTTTAGGTACTTCCGGTAGGTACGCACCGCCCGTTTCCGAAACTAATCACAGCATGAACACTTGTTTTATTTTATTAACTGTAAACTATTTAGTTTGCAAAGTAGGGTTCAAATAGTATTAAAAGGTAACTTGCATATCGTTTCTTATCCTTATTTTCTCTATCCACTTAAAGGTAGTCTGGAAGAAGTTGCTTAACGATAAGACCACCTTTTCTAGTAATTATTGCACCTATATTTATTATTTTAATAACTTAGTGTATTTGCAATGAAGACTATAAATAAATGACCCGTAAATTACCTACTAAAAATGTTGTATGCGATTTTGGCTTTGATTATACACATTTAGTAGTTCCACTGAAGTCAAATACTTTAACGACGCCACTTATAGAATAGGTAATTATAATTGTTATATGAATTACATAATTAGTTGTAAATAAAATCTAATATTTTTATAACTAAAAATAAAATAAAACGTCTAAACCCAAAATAAATAAACCTACATAGCATAAGACAACTGACAGATATATTTATTTAAATAATTTTGCTTTAATACGGCTAGACCAACAAAGTCATCAATATACCGGAATTGCTCATAGATAAATTGTACAATATAATGGCAAATATATTTTGTAAACAATATGTACCAGCGATCATGTATCTTATTGATGTTCAAATCAATAAGATACATAACAGTATTCATTATATCTTCGAATCATATCTATCCATTTATTTTTTATTGTATACCTAAATAAGTTAATAACTTTACTTAAAAATAACTTCATTTCAATTTCAGGAATATTAATATCTCTAAATATATATAACTCAAAGGTGATTGACGTAGTGACCTATCAACGCACAGCCCAAACCACTAGACGGATCGGGCTGAAATTTGACATGCAGGTAGATGTTCTGACGTAGGCATCTGCTAAGAAAGGATTTTGATTAATTCTACCCCCAAAGATATAAAATAGGGGATAAGAAACTTTGTCACTTTTAAACCGATCGGGCTCAGATTCTGGATGCATAAAGCTACTATGTCGTAGGCATCCACTAAGAAAGGATTTTGATAAATTCCACCCCTAAGGGGATAAATAAACGCGAGCGAAGCCGCGGCCAAAGGCTAGTATAATACATAAGTGTCCCCGTACATTTCTGATAAAAGTCGGACGGCCCGTGTCCGGGAGAACATTGGACTCTTACTATGGTCCGCCCTGTTATTTTTTTTTATATTAAGAAATTTGGGCTATTTCTAGGTTTTGAAACCTGCAGCACTGACGATCGAAGACTTATTGTACCCACCCTTATTGAGTTCGCCACTTAAAGCCGTCAGGGATAGGAATGAACGAATATTTTAGGAGCGTTATAGTTTTTTTTGTTAAATGCGCCTTTCGAACAGTATTTTCGACACGGGTAGTAAAACTGAAGTTGATAATGTGAGCCCAGGATAAGTTAATATTGCGGAAACACTTTCGAGATAGTTATTAAATGAAATCTTATCACTTTAGCCGCTACTACCTATCATTCGATATCTATAATAATATTTATTGCATCAGTTATCAATACTTATATCTAATTTTATTACAATCTTTACAGTATATATATAATTATTTATACCATAGCAGATGTGTTGGCATGTTTTCTAGATTGAAAAAATAAACTTTAGATATTTATATTTCATTTATATAGAGACCCACATGAAATTAAAATACCTATGCGATGATCTAACATTTCCTGCATTCCTCAAATAAACATTACTTCAAACAACATTTTCTAATGTAAAAATATTAAAATAAGTGTTCTCACCAAACCATTGTCACAAACTTTTTTCACGCCTAACCCAAAAAAAATACTTTAACGTTTTTACATTAAAATCTGTTTTCTACAATTTTTCACAGTACGTAATCACTTTATTTTAAGCGGGCTGTATTTCTATTTATTTTAATAGTTTATTATTATTTATTTATTTCTTTACATTAAATCTAAATACCAGTCTCCATTTATATTAAGTAAAGTGTTCTATCTCTAACTAATAGCAATAGTTATTGTTCGCGGGTCTGTCTGTATTTAAACAGCATTATTTGTCATCGTTCACATGTGAGGCGTATTGTACTGACCCCCCAGCACACTGATACCATCACACGCGAAGCTCACAATTTTTTGTTCAACGCGGAGCGTCACGTCAATGAGAACTGAAAAACTGTGACAAATGCCAGTATGTTCACTACGTAAATGGTTCAGTATAAATATAATAGTTTTTTAACACCTAAACATTAATAAGAAAATGCGTGCATGGTTTTCTAAATTGTTTAAACTCAAGAAAATAGTATAAAAAATGTACTTTGATAAACAAAAATTACTTTTGTTCATTTTTACTGTATTTTTTTTTGTGTTGTAAGTGTTTTGAAGCTGGAAATTAATGATTTATCTATCTATCTGTATCCAAGGTATGAAATTATTTTTAATATTTAAAAAACTGTTTATACTTAATGTATAAACAGTTTTTTAAATTTCTAAATTTAAAAAGTAAGGGTTCTCGTTATTTGTAGGGAACCTTAACAGCAGAGGTGAGAAAAAATACTCCTTTTCAAACAGCTGAGAGATAAGCTTTGCTCCCGTCGTCGTCGACAGTACGCACCGTTATCCCTTCGTTATGTAAACAGTGACGTGTTCAGTTCATAAGAATTTTTTAACTTTAATACACATTATCTACATACCTACTATAAATTATCTGACATTATAAAATGTAACAGAAAGTATAGAGACTTGTTGATATTTTTTATTATTCAACATCATACGTTGTAGAAATTGTCACGATACCTAAATTCTTTATTATTTATATATACACCTGCATTATTTCGGTTTGTATATTAAAATCTTTATATTAATACCATGTACAGAAGATATAATATACTATAGTTTCCTGTCTACGTTTTGCCCAGTTTGAAAATATATATGTATTTTACATATATAATAAAATTGTAAAATATGAACTAAGAAATATAACTTACCGGGCGCTAAATTTCCTCTGGGTTTCGCTCCAAGTATTGCGAGGTTGACATTTGCTTTCCTGCCATCTATAATAGGATTTGGATCCTTGCATGCTCTTTCTGCCGCCGCTCGATCACCCATTATCACCTGCAATAAAAAAAATATTAAGATTAGTTTTAGTTATAAATTAATTGTTTTAATATCAATCATCATGATGGAAACATTCGACAATGGCTCGTGTTTTTACATTTCACACCAAACTTGAATTTTGTACAAATTTAGTATATATTTTTTTTAAGCTGAGATTCTTTTCTACACATTATTAAGGTGTAAATAACATTTACATGTATTATCATAAAGATATATCGCCAATGTAGTACAGAAGGTTTAAAAGACATCATGCATGGGATTTTATTCACTGATGAGTAATATAAAATGAGACAGTTTCCTCACTACAGGTACAATTCTCTCCCGTGAACAGATTCTTACAACAAATCAGCTAAGAGCTCGGTGAGCTTGTCGCAAGGTATAGATAAAGAAAAAAAGGTATCGCAAATAATTTAAATAAAATGTTTAATTATTTGAAAACTGAAATCATGAAATTCTTTGATAATGTAAAGAGAAAAATCTCTTAAATAATCTCACTAATAAAAATTACAGCGATATATATACAGTTTTAAATTATTTCAGTGTGAAAATACGTGTTGAATCGATTTAAATTCAAAATAATACAGGAATGACGTCACACCAGCATTACCTATTGTAATGCATGCGCGACACTCGGGTCGTCACCTCGAATCTACTAATGTCGCAACCAGCCCCGCTGACCCTCAGGAACTCAACAAGCCTTCACATGAACGCCAAGACTAGATTATACATTCAGTGTCATTTTAAAATGGACAAAACATGCGAACGTGGCTATTGAGTAAACAAAACTAAAGCAAAATGTGTGATGACCTCCAGATAGAGTGAATTAATTTTTATTCGAATTTTAAGAGGGTTTCAGGTAGACACCGGTGTAGGTTTCATACAATGTTTTTTTAACACAATGTTTTATTCATTCGTTACAAGTTTGTTATAGATACTGATGAGGAATACTGATACAGTCCATCTATTTCCATTTGTAATTTCTATAAATAAACATACCTAAGTTATTTGTTTGTTTATAAATCTGGCACTTGAAAATATAATCAATCAAAGGCAAATACAATATACTGATATATTTTTAAGTACGAAAAGGTCACATTACGATATAAATAGAAATGAAAAGATTGGATTTAAACTAATAATGTTACTTTTAAGATTATGAATATTTTAATATCTACTATACGTACAAAAAGAAATAAAATAGTCTTAAGTTCGACATTAACGACAACATCTCAGTAACACACGAGAGTCGTAAACCTAAACACTGACTAAACTTTAAGAAATAGTCATGCAGCTTTCTATGTGAGATTCATATTTCTGACTGACTCAATGGTGATGAAAATATTGAAAACAAACCAAATTGATTCCAAAGATAGCGGTATATTCACCTCCTGCCACATGCGAAATAAGGGCATTTCAAATATTGTATACACAACGATGACAGTCGACAATACCTCAGACTACCCAATCCATAATAACAGTCATGAAGGTAGGTATATATATATATATATATAATAAAATTTAATAAAGCAATCTTTGCACATTCATCATACAGTATGGCGATATGTTTTTAATTAAAGTAGCTGTAACACTTTTGTAAAATTATTCCCGGGCATAGCAATCAACTTTATATCGCAGTTCGAATAAAACGCTAACATAAAGCATACAAATCGAAGTTAGGCACGGCCGATAACAGATTATAAGACTTATTTACCTGACTGCTACTTGGTTAAGAAATAAAGGAATTGTTTCTTTATTAAGCTACAGTTCTCTATTTTCATTCTTTACCTTTATAGGCCAGCTTATTAAATATTTAAGATGTTTTGCTTCCTATTTTTTTTATAATTCGTATAAAGTTATCATACATACCATGATAACTTTATACGAATTATAAAAAAAATGTGCAGTATGTTATATTAATATAATTACAAATATGTCTTTTTTTAATGTCGTTTCTAATTTAAAAAAACTCTTCACAATGTTATTGTAGAATAGTATTAAATACAATTAAATTTAATTTCTAAAATACAAAGCATTGATATAGCCTGCAATTTATATTCACTCGACTTTTTAGTGTTATTTTTCCACAGCGCATATTACTCCCACACAATTTTTTTTCTTCTTACTGTCTTTTTCTTATTCTTCCTACTAATCCGTCTGAAATATCATCCCTTTCATTGCAGTCGGTAAAAAATTTTGTCGAAGAATTCGCACTGCAAATAGGCTTTACAGCGAATGATAATTCATTGTTACCACTGTTTGTAATTAATGCTAAGTACTTTCGGAAAATTATGCAAATGGTTCAGATAAAGACAGGATGTTACGATACCCTCGACGCATGTAGGTATGTACTGTAGTTTCATTAAATGGTACTAAAATGTTAATTATTCTATACTAGCGATACGTCCCGGCTTCTGACGCATTACAAATCTTTGAATTTCTAGGCTCGTTCTATACTGTAACACGCATGTATTATATATATAAATCTTGTTCTTGAATCGCTCAATCTGTTGCTAAAAACTTCATTAAAATCTGTTGAGTAATTGAAGAGCTATAAGCGAACAGATAGCGGCGGCTACTTTGTTTTATACTATGTAAAGATGTTGCTGTTCCATTCTCATATTTTGATAAACATAAACTGACATATTTGGATTTGAGTTCAGTTAACCCGTGAACTTCGGTTAAGTTAAATAAATCTTTAACTATATATTCATACATAATACGTATACAAAAATTTTCTTCGATTTAGACAAAGATATTTTAATAACAATTTACCTAAAACTAATCAATCCGGTCTAATGTTATTCTTCGTTACAATTAGGACCTATATAATTATATTCATTATGTTCATAACAAATTTAATTCGAATTAATATACGTAACAAAATTTGTTTCGTCCTACAAAATTTATTAGTACGATTTTTGTTGGTACATTTTGCTAACACAAGTCTAATAGCTACTAAGTTTTCTAACGATTTGTCGCATACCATCATTACTTTTTTAAATGTTGATTTTTTTTATGATACAGTAGTTACCAAAATAATAATATATTTTGGTAACTACTGCAACACCCGCTATGTGATAGACCCATAGTGGAAGGCGTGCCCAAATCTGAGACGCCCACAGATTACTCTCGCCACGCCTCATTAAATAGTTGATGTTGATTCATTCCAATGGTACAATTAATACACCCACTTGTTAATTATATCAGTAGTCAAGTTCATTTAGTAGAACTGTCAAGTAACTTGAACTATATGTATCAAGGAACTTTCAATTTAAAATAACGTACATACATAGGTATTATATGTAACTCATATGTACCTATTATATGTATATAATATATGTAAATATAACTAAATCAATATCACGTAGGTATATGATACAAGATATGAGAAAAATATTATTGAGGAACTTCTTTAATATAATGTAATCCATAACGGTGATTTTTGGATTTTGTTCTGTTTATCGCTAGAGATGCGTGTTGATCTCAAAAATGACCTAATAGATTTGAGTGCGAATTTCATTTAGGTGTTGTGGTAAGCTTCACTAAAAATTTAGTGTTTGTTTTATTCCAATCCGTTTACGACCCAATATATATAGGTATTATTATTATTCCGAATATCACGAATATGGAATCATGAGCTCTGCTAGTTGTACATACATTCAATTTTGAATTGTATACCAGTTACTTGATATATAATTGATTGTTATCCATATTCGAGATATTCGGAAGCCATTCCCTTATTCTGTTCCTAAAGTTAACTTCTTTCTAGTAATAAAACGCGGACTATAATTTATATATAATAAATATACTTATTAGCTGACCGTGCAAACGTTGTTTAGCCATATAAATTTAAGTACTAATATCGCTATTAAAAATAGGGGTTGGTGGTAGATGGGCGAAAATGCCACATAATAAAAAAAAAAGGTTGTCCAAAAATTAAAAATAAAATGTTAGGAGTGGACAACCCTTATCATTTAGGGATATGAAAAATAGATAGTAGCCGATTCTCAGAGCTAATCTTAATATAAAATTTCATAAAAATCGGTCAGGCCTTTTCGGAGGAGTATGGTAAGTAACATTGTGACACGAGAATTTTATATATAAGATTATCTAAATATATTAAATGTTTCTTTATCGACCGGTGAAGCTGTAAAGGCCTGCAGCAGCATTAGAGTAGTCCGAAAAAAAATTTAATATCTGTCTACAACTGTCATTATTTAATATCATAAGAATTTTATCGATCTTTGAAATTTTAGAACTTACTTAACTAAGCATGAATTCTCTTAACTTAGGACACTACAAAGGCCTTAATTAGAATTACAAATACCAATTATGCATAAGTCTAAACATACCCTACCGTACCTAGTTATTAATAGCAATGTTTGTATTTCCGAACATATTTGTATGTTTTACGATTATGACGGAAATGTTGTTGGTCGAATATTTCATGTTAGTCCATATTTAACTTCAAATTAGGCAATCATCTAACAATTTACTTTAATATTAGCTTGATCTACGTTTTTGCGACTGTAGTTTGCAATTGTGAAAATGTCTATTTAACCAATTGTAGCAAATGCTTGATTTAGGGATATTTCATATAATGAGTTTGTGTATTTGGCGGTTTGTCAGTGCGTTTGTGTAAGCTAACAAAGAAACGGCTTAGCCGACTTGGTTTTCCTAATGTATTGTGGTGATATTTATTTGAAATTTTATATGTTGTATTCCTAAGGGTACAATGGTTTATAAGTTTTTTGTCTATACCGTGTAACAGACAAAATTTCGCACACTTATAGTAACGAGAAAGTGTGCAGTATGCTAATATTTATATTAAACATTATTTACAAACTTTGAATGTTATATTTATTTATATTTAATCAACAGCCTAAATAATAAGTATCTAGCTTCTAGCTATAAACATGACGATACTTCCATACAATCCTTCATCTCCCCTTACAACCCTCTCTTCATATTAAAAAGTAGTATGTCCCTTCTCAGGGTCTATGGTAGACTATCGGTGTACTAAATTTTATTTAAATAAAAAAAGTATAGTAGTTTTGACGTGACAGCAAGACAGACAGACAGGTACATTTGCATTTATAATATTAGTAAGGATTTATTCTGGTCGAATTTCGACCACTAGGCGTAGTTACAGTTATTACATATATTTTATTGTACTCTATCTATTCTAGCAATCTATACAATTACATTTGAAAACAGTGTATCAGTGTAGCGTTCAATAAATTCTTTATCTAACTATCTATTTAATCCAATAATCGAGGTTTTGAATTTCGATATTTTCATCACCTTGTGTGAGCTTGGCCCCATTGTTGAAACTATGTATAAGCGCAAATATAGAATTCTATTTTTAGAAACTAATCATATCAAAACTTTAACTCCAAATCATTATTTTTACTTTAAAATGATTTCTGCATGCTGCCAATTTTCAGTTCTGCGACAATTCGTAGTAAATAAAATTATTTGCGCTTTTCGCCATCATAATCTGCAGCATAAATTTAAATTCCTTTAATCTAGAATCTAGAAGGTATTATTTCAATTACTTAATTAAATAATCAATTCCAATAATATCCAAAAACTATTTAACAATAACGATAGAAAAATGTCAAATAGATAGATTAAGTTAGATTAATATTTAGACGCAAAATTAATACTGGTATTCATAGAAATAGTAATAATAATATAGTAACGATACTGTGTTATAAGTTAATTAAACTACGTTTCAGTCTATAACGTTTATATTCAGAAGTAAAAAATCTGCAGAAGTAGGCAGTAAAAATTGAGTGAAATTTCATAAGTTATTGTATCGATTAAATAGATCAAGTTATGATAAAATTTTCACATAGTAGATATATAAAAATGCTATCGGTTCTTGTTATTGCCAGTAGATAGTCAAAATATTTGTAAATAAATTCAACTAACTGACTCTTTCGCCAACACAATTTATTTATTTGCATTCTATCACTCAGTTTATTATTAAATTATGTTCCGCACAGATAAGCCGTATTGCTTATCAACACTTAAATTGCAGTTTTATCGTATACTGGTGAACGATACTTACCTACAGACCTACAAATTTTTTAATGATTATTGTTATCTTTAAAGTAATCCATAGCAAATATAGTGTGAATTAAATGCCAGATGTATTCTCACACCTATTGTAAACAGATTTACATTGAATCTCAATACGCAATTATTTTAATATTGTTATTTTGAAACGTAGCTAATCATGACTAAATTGAATTATTTGATAAGTTAGTGTTTTCATTGAGTAGGAAATATAGAGTAATTATGTAATATTAACTACTTAGTATGTAATTAAACTACAGATTTGAATGACGAAAAACTTAAGAGGTTATCTAGTCAGTATTTCATATATCTAAGTATATATACATTGATTTTATTGTTCCTCTTAAAATGATGCTCCTCTCTCCTGGGTTATTGCCATTCTCGGGAAATCATTTAGATACCTACTAATTATATTATTCCTAATAAAATTAGTTGAAATATGTTGAGCATAGAACGAACTCAAGTTAATATTCTAATTGATCACATGAAAGAGAATCATAATGACTATATTTCAAGTTTCGTCGTCAACATTAATAAATTCACATATGCAGTTTCACCGAGAGATACCAATTTAGCATACCTACATACTAATCTTCGGATAATTGCGTTGGCACTTAAGTTGCAGGTGATTAATTAAATTAATCATAACCTTCCGAAATTCTTGCTATGAAAAGCAACTCCCATGCATGAAATGTAAAAATTATGACGAAGAAAATGTTCGTCTTAATTTTTTTGCATCACCTTATCGAAGCTGATCGACAATGGTTTTATAATTATTTAGGCAACCACTTTACATACATTAGCCACACAATAGATATGACTTCTTTAGTGATTTCTAGGTAAAATGCAATTTGATCTTATTCACAGACTGACGTATTCATACCGTTATGGCATGATGCCATTAAACCTGCACATCTTTAAAAAATTCCTGTAAAACATATGATTCTTAGATCTATGATTCATTTTGGATTGATTTCATAACGTTGAAATTTGTTTTAAATTGGATTTCAAAACATTAGGTTCTTGTGTATTTGATAGGCATGAGTATGCAATAAAATGTTAGTCGTGAATGTTCCACGGCCCGTACTGTATCAAATGACAAGCTTTTGTATTCGACATGTAGGTACTTCAACACGGCCGGCTTGACGTGTCTCTGCTCAGCGGCTTTATAGGACAAAACCCTTCTCGACAGATAAATTTCAATCTTGAACTACTTGGATACAATAATTAATTAACTTTATTTCATTTTTGTACTTGATGAATATATAAAAAATATGTTCTACTATCGGACCCGCGTAACTTCGTTTGTATCACACTTACATTTATCATTATATATATTTTGTATAATTTACATAATATCCTTTTAAATTATAGCCTATTTGTCATTCTGATATATATGCCATATCATTGTAAAATTTCATCAAAAGTCGTTCAGTAGTTTTTGCATGAAAAAGTAACTAGTATCCATCCACTCATCCAGCCATGCTCTCAAACTTTCGCGTTTACAATATTAGTAAGACATTGTGTTCTCTACAAACATCGGCATAATAAGTAATATATTCAATAAATTGTCGCTAAAATCATCTTCCAACTTTGTCCTAAACACCCAAAATTGTTCGATGCACAATTGGTAGCAAAGGATTGTAACTACAATGTTGCGAACTGTGTGTACCGATTATTACAGTTATTTGGATGTCACACAGAGGGTGCAAAGGGACAAGTTCCCTCCCTCAGGCTCTAGCAACCCTAGTATGAATTGAAAAATGGGGTTGTGATTCATTTCTCACGAGCGCCAGTTGCACGATACAAAAAGCCTCAGAATTTTATTACATTAAAGAGACGATAGTGGAACTATCCGAAAGACTGATCGTTTCACACATCTGTTCATTCTTTTTATTTTCTGCGCCGAAAAAGTGTGAAAATAAATCATAATATTTTATATATCTTAATTAAGTATTATTTTTATAGTTTGAACCATGCATTATAGAATGTCAGTATGTTCCTTGTTGGAAAAGAGAATATGTCCCGTATTGTATGTACCCGATGCTTCTTCAATAAATCAAGTTAGTCTGTCTGTTGTCTTCAGATACTAAACTTAATTCAGCAAAGTTATCATTTAGCATCATTATCCAAACATGACATCCTTTATTTATCACAAAATTAATTATACACCAGCGTGGCGTAACAACTTCCGTGTTTAAGGTAATTTTGTGATACAACTCACATGGCTAGTCTCCTGTATTTAAGTGCTGTGTTGTATTGTAGTTGTAGGTAGCAATACCGTCCGATAACGAGGTAATGTGCGATATGCTTGACGTTTTAGAGCTAAAAAGTCGAATGCGCACAGGCAAGGTTTACGTGTCAAATATAACTTGACTTACTGTTTTAGTTTGTTGTAAAAATAGTAACATGAGAATAATCTATTTAAAAATATGTAAAACGATAGAAATAAATAAAAAGTGTCTTACAAAGCCATATCCCCTGCTCTTGCTTGTTTGTCTGTCTGTTATGACGACCGCTTCCTCTATTTCCCCGTAGACCGCAAAATGTTCCCTCAAGCTTTTGTCTGTGGTGTGGTACGGGAGTCCGCCGACGAATAATTTCGTCCAGGTCGTGTCTTTTTGACCAGGCAGCGCGCCGAGAGCCAGCAGCCCCTCGGGCTCGGCCGGCAGGGCGCCCGCCATCAACATGCCTTGTACTGCCTCCGTTGCGCCGGTCACCGTACCACACTGCGAACACTATCACTGCCGCCGCTGCTGCGGTCTTTATAGTCCGAACGAGTGTAGGTTATGATATAAAACACTAGAGTACGGGAGCGAGTAATCGTCGTGGTGGTTGAACGCGGACTGAGGCGGCTTGGTTCGTTTTCGTTTCGTAGTTCGTACTTCGTAGCGCACGTGGCGGTCGGCTACTAATTTTAGCCCCCGCCGCGCCCCCCTCGTCACCAGATGCGTCGGGCCCTGCTGGCCGGCCACATGCGTGCCGTACCCCACTGCCTGGTACCCTCCACTCACACGTAATGATATGCCTCGTTATCACAGTGTGTTGGTCCTTTCTTAATTACAGCCTAAGTATAGTATTCTGTAAACCATATACATAGGTAATAGGTTCCGTTTTTGTAATTAGGGATTTGGTAAAGGGATATTCAAATTATGTAATTCAATTAAATTTTCTTATTGAACTTAAATCAAGATTTAAGTTAATTTTAAGTTGAACAAATAAATTATAATGATTTTTAATAAATATATTCTTAATTATAATATTTGTTTCTATACATGCCTAATTATGAAATTAGAAAACAGTCACAAGCCGAATAATGAGTGTAGGTTTCAAGTAAAAAAAGCTGGAGGGATAAAGATGAAATTGTTGCAGAATAAGAGGCTGAGAAAAATACTCTGTGGTGAATAATATTATATACTAGCTGCAACCGCGACATCGTCCGCGTGGAATTAAACTTTATTTTTCTAAAATAGGAGATATATTAAAATAAAAGTAGCCTAAGTCACTCCTTATTACATGAACTACCTGATAAAAAAAGTCACGTCAAAATCGGATTAGCCGGAACAAACAGACCAATAGACAGACAGACAAAAACTGTAGAAAATGTTATTTTGTGTAGGTACCGTATTTATATTCATATGTATGTTGTTAAAAACGGTTATTTCAATATTATAAACAGACTTTCCAATTTTATTTATGTGTATAGATACTAATCTATACATATAAATAAAATTGGAATTTGAATTTCTGGATATAAAGGGTCAAAATAATTATTTATGTCGATATTTTATACCTACTCTATTTACAATATTATTAGTATAATATAATATAATTCATAAAATAAATAGATTACTACCTACATATAAATATTCTATTCATTATTGTCATTTCATTATTATCAGTAGATGCTTTTTACAAATATCACAGAACCTATGACAAATATAAATACACACACACGAAGCCATGGCAACACTATCCCAATATATATACCTACATAAGTAAAAAAAGCATTAAAACGAATTAAACTAAACTAATTTGAAGTCGGTTAACGATTTTACAAAACCAGTGCTCAGTTTACAGAATGCACTTTCTTACTTTTATTAGATTATTAGGATCTGGAGACGTGATTATAAATGAAACAAGTCTGGCTCGAATTTTATACTGCAATCGGCAGGAAGTCGGAGTGCGCCCGCGCACCGTTCTGCGTCTGTGGGAAACACATTGTTCTTGAGTAAAACATGTAGAACCAATCACTTCCTTTCCTTCTTTGTATGATGAAAAATGTCACTTCATTTTATTTATTTAGTGGTATTTTTGTATTACTATATTCACGTAATGTACCATTTCTTGTTTCCACGCGGTTCTTCCTGGAAATCATCATGTTAAATTTCTGGTGAATTTGCCACGATCATACTAATCTTATCATCCTCCACTGGTGCCCCGCCAGCGTATACTGTTAACGCATGTGGATGCACCATTCCATTATCCCGTAAAAATCCTGTAAATATAGATACTTCACTATACGCCCGAAAGAATTTTCTACAGTGCGTTAATATTCTATGAGCCTATTAAATAATCTGTGTTCCAAATTTATTGGCTATGCGTTCAATGAATCATGACAAACAATTTGATATATTTTATATACATGTACCCTCTTCTGAGATTGCGCTGTGTTCGTATGCGCTGATAAAATCAATTAAATACCTAAATCGCTCTCAGTCGGTCTTTTTTATTTGTGATAATTAGTTTCGACATTACGATTTCACATGTTTACTAACAAAAACCCTAAAAATATATACCTAAATTATTAATTTTAAATAACCACCGACTTTAAAAATACTCTACTATAACCGCACTGATCATGTCAGCTTTAAAACAGCTACAATGCCTCAAACGGGACTGTTTGAGGCATTGTAGTTCCTAAACGAATAAGCCTATAATGTGCATCATTATTGGCTTATTCGTTTTATATTCGCTTTTTTGTTTTAAAGCTACTTACTACTAAAGCCGCTACAAATTAAAATATACGTCAATCTCAAAACACCCCTCTTTTTTACACCTGAGTTTAAAAAAGAGGTTGTTTATTGTGTAGACCTACAATGTACATATAAATACATATTTTGTACTTCATAGAACAATTCATTAAAAAAAATCTATCTATTTGTTCTTGCTCTGCAACGGTTGGACAGACTTTGTCGGTAGTTTCAGCCGCAGATAGCTAATCTCGTAAGGAGTAATTTAGTATACTTATATTTTAGAAATCGGTCCCTGGTTAGCCTAACCTAGCTATTTGTAGATAAATTTGTGCTTCTTTTGTAATTAAAAGGGTTATTGACTGTACTGTTTCAGCCACTAAACAACTTGCTTTATAAGCTGATTCAGTTGTAGCACAGATAACATAATATTACTTGTTGTAGTATGAGATACGGCAGTGAAATGACATGTTACTCAGGCATGACATCTTATGTCTTTCGGAATGGTGACACCATGAGGCGGCGTTTGATGACTGTCAGTCATGTCTGTGATGCTGCTATATAGGCTTCGATTACCAATTACTATCAGGCGTACAATTAGCTTTATTGCAATACAGAGAAGATTACAAAAAAAAAATTTATACAATATTTTTTTTTTAATAACAGGATAAAACATTTCCCAAAAGTAGTCGGTAGTCAGCTGTTCATCAACGTCTATTATAAGTTGCCTGAAAGCAAAAGTACCGACAAATATTATCCGGATATAGTAGATACTACCTGGTCGGTAGGGTTGGCGAAAGTGTAAATAACTAATAGTAATAAGAGCTATCTTCGTGTCTCATCGATGCTCGAAACAGTTTTAATTTTTCTCTTGACTATTCTACTATTCTGTATCAATTTGAATGAAACTTTAAAAGTTACTATAATATGGAAACTGACGTTTTGTACCTAGTGAAAATGAGTTATTGTGTAATATACTGTTTTCTATAGATTAATTTCATAGTTATTACTCAATTCACAACTACATGGTAAACTTTAATAGAATTTAAATGTATAATAATTGTATTTATGCAAATAAGATTTTTTTTTATTACCTAACTTGCACAATGCACAAAAATAATGTAGATATGGCGGACTTAACACCTTGCGGGGTTATCTACCAGTCAACCATGAGTGGTGCAGAGATCACTATTATAAATGAGATATGTTAAAAAAATATATATGTATAAATTTCTATAAGCTGTAATATGCATAAATAATCATAAAGATAAGTATTATGTATAATTAAATACATAATGACCTTATAATAAAATTATACATATAAATAATTTCCAACCTATAAAAACAAAATGTTATTTATCTGATTTATATATTGTAAATCTGGACCCTCAATTAAATAGTATCTTCATTTTCAATATAGTGTAATGACCTCTTTAGAGGGAAGTCGACTAAAAACTAGCACTAAGCCTAGTTACCCTATTGTACTCAACAGATCGATAGACAACCCTACGCATAGCCGAAGGGTGCAGGACAGCCAGGGCGGGGGTCGTGGGTTCATTGATCGCTGGCATTGTCGAATGCGCGTGCGACGCCAGCTGCCGCCGCCGCGCCGCCCTAGGTGAGCAGATGGTATTTGGGAATGGTGTTTTATGTTCTACATCGATTTTTTTCGCTTCATGACATCTCGTATAAATTAAGAAGTAAATAAATCTGTACAATAAACTGTCACTGGCAGCTATAGACCTTATTGTTTATGTCGTCACGCTTTTGTATGTACCTACAGGGTGGAACTTTTGGCGTCCATTCATGGGTCCATCCTTGAATTTGTCATACATTTCATAGACTACTAATGCTATATGTATGAAATTTGGAATAGTTTTATTTCATTTATTCATTTTACAAGATTAGAGACAATTATATCATATATATATTTATAAATAATTATTTGGACATTCTACATAGTATAAAGCAATAAAAAAAGTTACCCGCTAGAAATATACTTTGTTTTTTATCATAATCAAACGCATACACATAGTCACTGGAAGGGAATTGTTAATATTGGGCACAATACGACTGTCAGGTCGACCCCCACGGAGTTTTGCGTAAATAATCCGCCACGATGGGCAACCTGGTTTCATTCCTCTTTTTATCATTTACTGCCAGCCATCGTATAGCACACGCGGAATTACGATTCAAATATAGATTTGAATTATAAACAATGAAATATAGACATTCAATGTGCATATTTCTTTGTTTAAATGATAAACTGTGAAATATACAGTAAAAGGACAGTTGATTTTCAGAAATCGTCATACTATATTAGAATATTCAAATTATTAGTGATTTCGTTTGGTTTTTTTAAGAATTCCCGACAGAACAGCTTAATCATCAATAATTTTCATTTCTTTTTATGCCGTGCAATCACTTATTACCGGTCACGTGAAAAAAATGGCTAGGAGATAAATAAATAGAACTCTTTTCAGTTTTTTTAATATGTTAAGGGGAAGGGGAATTGTTAGTAATGTGTATAATAACCCCATTGCTAGCAATATACCATGTCAAATTGGGCTCCACGCAGTTCTCTCTGGAACCACCATGCTTTGATTTTTTTATGATGTTATTAAACGCAAAAATATATTTTATACTTATAACCGCCATCTATCGAGTTTTTGTGTAATTACATAGAAAATAATTTCTGCACAGAATTCACATATAACTATAAAATGTATAAAGTGGATAAGCGCCATCTGTCGAATAACTTTATAAATAAAAAGCAATATTTTCGTTTGCTATTCTATGATTTTGTTCAACTTTTTATATAAATATGAAATGGTGAGATGGCGTGCGCGAATAAAATCAAAAAGAAGTATGTAGCAAATACAATATCATATATA